CCAGAGAAACAGATGCTCAACTTAAGCAAACTTGATCATTCCTGGAAGACCTGGGGATCTGCTTCTACTGACTGCAGGAGGGACCATACATGGCTATGTAAGCTTGCAGACAGCAGGAATCTCACAGTGTTTGAGTAAGGCTGGTACTGGAAGCTATGGGACAAGGCAGAAAGGGAAAACCAGATCATCCTGCAGAGACATCAAGACTGACTGGACATGGAGATCGTGACTAGTGGGAAAGAGGGGAGAAAAAAGAGACTGTATTTGTGAGGTGTAGGAATGGGCCTGGAAAACACAAACAGCAAGATTTTGGCATTTCCAAGCACCATCTTCTGAACCATGGTAGAAGAGGACTGAATAATCCATGATACTAACTATCACAAGAGTTAACTCCTAGAAACTTCATCCTGCCCCCCACACCTACAACAAGTGGATGCCCAGGAGCATCATATAACGCCTGTGATCAGTAATTAGTTCATGCTGGAAAGGACTGCTTAAACCAAATAACATGATGGAAGCATGTAGGAATGCTAGCTGAATATACATCTGTTCCAATGACAGAAAAGAAATGAGTTAAAAATACAGACAGCATGAAATGAACCAAGCAAGAACCAAACTACGTCACTCCTTTCCTTCCCTAAGGATTTTGGGAGATGTTTGGAGGTGAATTAAAATCTGCCTCTAAATTTTGTCATTCAGGTCCATCCCCACCAAAACCACTTCATGATGGGGAAGAAGAAATGAAAAACAAAGACCACTATTTCAGTGGCAGGGAGTCATCAGCAGGATACCGTTCAGAGCAAAGGACTTGCATTTGACAAGCAGCTGGTGTTAGAAGGCGAGTAGAAATGTGTTTCAGTCAGGTTGCTTTCTTTATCTTCTGTGATGCAGCTGCCTGATACTATTGCAGGTTTCACTGCAGGTTAATATCTTTGCCAACCTGTAGCAGACACAGGTAAATCCTAGCGCTTCTTGGTGACATTGGCAGCATCACATACTCTCAGGACACAGCCTAACTTGGCTGCCAATGCCACCATTAAATGTCCGAGGCCAATAGGAATTCATGGAAAGAATAAGGCTCCCTACAGTTTCAACAAAATCACGTAACAGAAGATGAATTAATAAATACGAGGCGATTATTGCTCCCACTGGAATCAGTGCAGCATTTCCACCAGCCTGGGCACAAAGAATCCACTTCAGCATTATTTTTACAATACGTGGAGCAATGCTGGATTTACAGCGGTGTGCTGGAGCGCAGACTGCGGGGCTCCAGCTGCCCCCAGGGACTGTTAGTGAGCAGTAGCCCTGCTTGGATCCTTATTGTCTTTGTTAGAAAGACTTCTAATTTGATTTGTGTTTGGTACTTAAGGAGACTACTTTGAAAGGATCCAGGCCCAAGAGTGGGGTGCCCCAGTTATGGCAGATGTGTCACTGGTATTCAGTTTGCAGGTTTCCTCCCTTTCCAAAGCGAGAAGCAAACTGCTCCTGGTCCTCAAAACACTGTAAGAGAGCTGCACCACCCTTTCCTTTTGCAGGATCTCTAATTTGCCATTGACCGCATAAGAACAACTTAAATACTAGTAACAAGCACAGAGAGAAGGAAAAGTTGGTCTACAACAGCAGGGCAAACTCATACAACCAACTGATCTTGATGTTCCCTTTGGCCTGTGTCATGGTTTAAGCTACTACTGCTACTGCTGAAGCCAGGACAGCTGGACAGCACTTCCCTTACCCTTCGGTGTATAACTAAAACCACCCATACCTGCAGATTGTTTGAAATACAGCTTGTTTATCCAGTGTGGAAACCCAACAAAGGGAAAATCTCCCATTATAAAATCTCACATCACAGCTCCTTGGAAGTCAGCTAGTGACTGTGACACAAATGCCTTCTGTCCTCAGCTGGGAATTTGGTGACCGTGAGCCACATGTTGGACTCTCCCAGGCTCTCATAAAACTCTCAGGATACTGATCAAAGCTCCAACATATAATGCCCACAGCAGAGTCCACATGCAGTATAACTAACGACAAAGGCTTCACAACAAGACCACTGGCTCCTGTCCATCAGAAGGTCCAGCTTCAGTCTCGGCAGCACTGAGACAAGGCTATTTCACAACCAAGTTCTCTGTTTATGCTTGCTTATCAAGGACCTGGCAACTACAGACATCCTTTTCAACACTAGAGGAAGTCACAGGCCAGACTACTTTGGTTTTAAGAGCTACAACAGTGTCGAAGGCTCACCCATCTGCAGGATGCCCTGCAGTCTTGTTGCCACCTGGGCCAACTACAACCCCTACTCTTTCACCAAACATCCAGGAGATTAAGGTATCTCAACTTCTTAAGACTATGAAGTATTCGCCCTTGAGGCACAGCTGCAATGCTTGTCTTCCAGTACCTAAAGGGGGCCTACAGGAGTGCTGGAGAGGGACTTGGGTAAGAGCAAGTAGTGACATGACAAGGGAGAATGACTTTAAACTGAAAAAGGGTAGATTTAGATTAGACATTAGGATGAAATCCTTCCCTGTGAGGGCGCTGAGGCCCTGGCACAGGGTGCCCAGAGAAGCTGCGGCTGCCCCATCCCTGGGTGTCCCTGTGCCCGTGGACGAGCTTTAAGGTCCCTTCCAACCCAAACCATTCCATGATTCTATTTTACAGTGCTTGCCTCTCCCAGCAGTACTATGAAGAGAAGTCCAGAGAAGGCTTGGGGGGGATGCATCCTCACTCCTCTGTAACCCTCAGAGTAATGTTGCCACCAATTCACTTGTTTAGAGAGAAGCTTGGAAACGTCACAACTTTTACACGACGGCATCTTTAATACACTCCCAGCCAGTCATAACTTCTGCCTGAGGCGCCTGAGAACCTCCACAAACACTGGCAGCCCAGAATTAATGATGCAGTTCAGTCTAGAAAGGGCTGCACTTTAATAGTGGGTACAGCAAGCCTTACGTATTGCCAACTAATCTTGAAGAAGTAAATGCATCAACTCACATTTGTCAAATGCTTTGAGATCTTCCAAGGAAGCGTTCCATAAAAGCACAACCTGTTATTAAGTATTTATGACAATATATTGTTTTAATTAATCTTCATCTTTGGTTTTTCATCTTGGGCTATACTTACGATGGCTTTTTGATTGTTTTCAGTATAGGTAATGTAGGCTCACCTGTATATGACTGAGCCTTCACCAGTTCATCATCTGGTTGAGTCTACAGAGAATTATATCATTGCAAGTTATTGATAGCATTCCAACTGCCTTGCAGTCAGTCAATATTCATACCATAAAGATTTCTCTTCTGACTGTAGATCGATCAACCAACATCAAAGTCACATCAGTTACATCAAATCTTTCCAAGAGAAAAGTGCAGCTCTCCAGCAGCTTTGGGTCTAGGGCATATAATAGGCTGCCATGAACTATTTTGATAGAAATAAATGTCACCATAAAAAACCAATAAATAGCCAAGCCAGGCTGGCTAATATGCTCCAGAAACATGTCTGAACTGTGCATTTAATCACAATGAAGTGAAAAGATTTTTTGGATGAAAGGCACTCAGAAGATCAGCAAAGAAAGCCTGAAGTTAAAAATAAGAGATTTCACATGGGATGGCTACGATTTTATGGCTCAGAACCCAGCTGTTAGAAACATAAACAAAATATAATCTAGGAACAGGATTCTGCATCTGTGTCATTGAGTTTACCTAACTTTTTCATGGTATTAAGTCATACTGAAATCAATTGAACTGTTCAATCACATGTTTGTCAGGTGGCATTCCAATGGCTATATATAAATATTTAAAGATTTTATGCAGGGATCTAAATTCTTTGCAGGAATTCCTTACCAAAACCACAGCTTTGAAGCACATGTAAGACACAGGCTCTCCTCTATCGCTTATGCAAAAATCTTCCATGTGTGCCACACTTAGGTTTTATATCAGCATTTATGCCTTTAATATTTGCGCTGTTTTCCCTACTGAACCCCATCTGCAGTGACCAGCCTCGCCATAATTTTTTACTACAGACATGATCAAGTTCTACTACCATTTCACCCATTAAACTGCATACCAAACAATAATTACCAGCCCTACAAAAGGGTATTTCATTTATCAAGGCTTATGTGAATTCAGGTACGTTCTTACGGCTGTCCCAAGCCACGATTAGCTTTGCAGGGGTATATTTTTCTTTTCTTTTCCTTCTGATTTTTGCATCTCTCCTCTTTTTTCCTCCTCTTCCCTCTTACAGTGGGGCTTTTCAAGCAATGAACAATGTGGGTTCAATTTACACCTTTTCTTACACCTTCACATCACAGCTACTTTTAGAACCACACAGGGCATTATTTTCACCCCCTTCTATATTCTTTCACGCCAAAATGGCTTTTCCCCTTCCCAAAGATCGAGCTGAACCAACTTCTTGCCCTCTCTTCCCATCCCGGTACAGTCTGGAGGGGGCAGCACGCCTCAGAGGGGTGCACTCCCCAGATATTCCCACAGTCCTGAGTACAGCCCAGCCTGCTTTCATAGAATGATTTAGGTTGGAAGGGACCTTAAAGCTCATCCAGTTTCAACCCCCTACCACGGCCAGGGACACTTTCCGCTAGACCAGGTTACTCCAAGCCCCGTCCAACCTGGCCTTGAACACTGCCAGGGATGGGGCAGCCACAGCTTCTCTGGGCACCCTGTGCCAGTGCCTCAGCACCCTCACAGGGAAGAATCTCTTTATATCCAACCTAAGTCTACCTGCTTAAGCTCGAACCCGATGATTTCGGACGGGTTGGCCAAGTTCGGTGCCTGCGTGAGAGGCCGGACACCCCTCACAGGCTGCGATGGACGGGGGGGAAGCAGCGCGGCCCAAACCGCCTCAGTCACCCGAGGTAGAGACACTTCCAACCGGTGACCGGCCGCTGAGCGACCCGCGGCGGGGTGATGAGGGATAACGGGACGCGGGGATGCGGAGGGGAACGGCGCCGGCGTGGCGGGCACGGCTGCCCGTGAGGGGCGGGAGGAGCGGAGGGGAGGGGAGGGGTCGGCGCGGGCCCGCGCGGCGGCGGGAGCGCGCTTGGCGGCAGCTGGTGGCCCGGCGGGGCACCGCCACCCTCGGCTGCACCGCGCCGGCCATGGATCCCTTCCCCAAGGACGGCGAGAGCGCGGCGGGCGCGGAGCCCAGCCGGGGCGCGGCCCCCTCCAGCGGGGTGGTGGTGCAGGTCCGGGAGAAGAAGGGCCCCCTGCGCGCCGCCATCCCCTACATGCCGTTCCCCGTGGCTGTCATCTGCCTCTTCCTCAACACCTTCGTGCCGGGGCTGGGTAAGGAGCTCCGCAGCCCCGCACTGGGGCCGGGCGGCAGGGCGAGGGGGGTCTATGGGGAGAGCGGTTGCTGGCGGCGGGACGCGCTCTCCTCACCGGGGCCAGACCCCGACGCGGAGGCAACTTTCCTCGACGACGGCGCTGCGAGGAGGGAGGGGACGAGGGAACAAGGGAAGGAGGCGGCGAGTCCCTGCGCCCCGGAGCAAAGTTTTGCGGCGGGGTCCCCGGGAAAGCCGTCGTGTTCCTTGGGACCGCCGCGGCGCCGTAGCGCGGCTTCCCGGGACAGCGGGCAGGGAGCGGGGCGTGCGGCCCCGGGGTCTGAGCGCCCATCCCCGCGCCTTCAGCCCCGTGCGCCCGTCCGCTCCAGCCGGGGCACAGCCCCGCACAGGGAATGGCGTGGTTTCGGGCTGTCACGGCTCTTGCGAACTGTCATGTTAGTCCGAGGACCGAGGCGCAGCGCGACCGTGTCACTCAGCAGCTGCAGAGGCAAGCTGCCCGAGTTTCCTCAGGAGACCCTTGGAAAATGTTGGTCCTGTAGCATTGCTCTAAGAAGCCGATGTCCGGAGAAACTGGGGACTCACGGTTTCTCAATATGAAGTCCCTAGTGAGTGACTCGGGTAACGCATCCGTGAGCTGTGGCTGTGATCACAGAACAGTTTGGGTTAGAAAGCACCTCAAAGCTCATCCAGTTCCAATCCCCTGCCACGGGCAGGGATTTCCACTAGAGCAGGTTGCTTCAAGCCCTGTCCAACCCGGCCTTGAACACTGCCAGGGATGGGGCAGCCACAGCTTCTCTGAGCACCCTGTGCCATTGCCTCAGCACCCTCACAGGAAAGAATTTTAACCCCTTCTCTATTTCACTTTACTGCTTTTTAGTTCAGAAATACTCACTCACTGCAAGCAGAGCCTAGACTTTGAACAGTTACAAAGGCACCTGGAACTGAGAACTAAACACAAACATTCCAGGTGCAGGCAAAACCATCGCATTTAAACAAACCCAAACCCATTAGTCCATACCTTGAATCTCTCATAGTCCTTTCTTGTCAGCCTTTTCTGCTACTCTGGCCACTGCCGAAGCCTTCTTTGTGGTATGGGAGTATCTCCCAGCTTGCCCTGCTTTTAAAGAGCTACTTAATTGCTTGGTGTGTTTCAGGTGGCTTAATTCTTTCATGAATCTGAAATTCTCTAAGTTCTTCTGATTAAAATATCACTTAAGTCTGAGTGGTAAACTGTGTGCAGTGTGTACAAGCCAGTGCTATCCCAATGTGTTTGCTTTGAACCTGCAGATGTGTTTCAGAGGGAAACTTCCACTGTTTGAAATAGCTCCGAATTTTCTTGTGGAAAGAATGGCATTGTGCTTCCAGCTGTAATGCTGCTTGCTCAGGTGTGTTGCTTTCATAGCCCTTGTGCGCAGCCACCTGCAGAACCTGGAGTGATGCATCAAACAGAAACTCCCCGGTTGAGTGCTTTCATGGGGTTTTAGGTTATGGTTATTTAGCAGTTAATTTCCCACCATCTTCAGAGAGAGCTGTTCAAAGCCAGAGCTTTCAAAGAGAATGTAGTTTTCCGTTGGCGTCAAAGAAACTACATCTTCACTGCAGATGTACAAGAAAAAAACCTGACTTACCCTGTCCTTTTCCTCATTTGAATGATCTTATACTTCAAACTGTGCTGCTTTCCACAGCACAGTAGAAAACACTCTGTGTTCTTCTTCATCCTAGGAGGGTAGATCTCCATAAGCCATCCTTGTGCCAGAGCTGGCTTGAGGTGTGACTATCTCTGGCTGCTGCTGCAGGGCTGCTGGACATAGCCAGTGTTGTGCCTTCCATTGCATAGAAGACATTGGTGAAGGAGAACAGTAGTTCTTCTACAGTAGTGCTTCTTCTAAGGTAGTGCTTATTTTCCAAGGGCAAGTGTATAAGGCTCCCAATCTGTGCTGGCTTGAAAGCTTGAGAGGTGAATCTGGACTCTGCAGCCACGTTGGTTGCGTTATCACCAACTGGTTGCACCAGCCCAAATGGATTTAATCCTATTTCGGGGTTGGTTTTTCTTTTTCAACAGGCAGAGATGTTTTTTTTTAAGCTTGTTTTCCATTTCAGCAGTACTTTCTGGCTGTCAGCACCACTGTTCCTCCCAGTCTTCTGCTGCAGAAGTAGCAAAACAAACAAACTACAAATCAAATCCATGTGGTGCTCTCACAGATTGGTGAAAAGCATCATTTGGAGATGCATCCTGAACTCTGTATGCAAAGCATAGCACTCAGGCTGTGCATAAATGAACCATTCTCTTAATGAAGCTGCTAATATCATACGCATTTTGATAGAAAATTTACTCCCCGATAATATACACTAGAAGTGACTAGAATATGGCTATTTACAATCACAGGCATATCCTGTCCTATATCACATAGCCCACACATAAGGGGAAACAGGAGGAACACAAATCTACTGGCAGGAATAGTCAGAGTAAAAAGGGATCTTGTGTTACTGTCGCACTTCAGCCATCTCGATGAACTGAGCAACACTTGTAAAATAAATACTGTTTGCAGTGGTGTGAAGTGTTCGTGTCTAAGATGTGAGCCTGTTCCCAGGGAAGTTAATGGCAAAATTCCCATCGATTCCTGTAGTCCAGATTTATAACATGTTAAAATGATGTTTCACAGGCTGTTTATTTGGCCTGCTTAGGTGGGGAGTGTGACTGTGTTTACAGGGCAATGGAGGTTCTGTTTTTCAGTCCCTGAATTCATTCCTCCCTTATTTTGTACGTAGTTGTCATTCATGTGTAGACTCTGCAGTGCAATTTCAATGAAGGGTCAGAAGCCACTGGGATACACAGGAAAATTGGCAGCACCAAATACACCAAGTGTTCCACTGCTTGGAGGCTGGTGCGTTTGAGGTGTTCATTAGTGCTCAGTACCTCAAAACAGTGATATCCAAACAGAGCTTGGGCTCCGTTGCAGGCTACCAGATACTCAGGTAGCCCCAGCATCTGAAAGCCTCTATTTTTTTTTTCAGTTAAAGTAATTTCCATGTATTATGGAAGTCATCTGTGAGGGTGAAATCTGAGAATCTGAAACCTTCAGTTTCTTTTCCCTTTCCACTCTTCGTGTTTTGCAGTAGTACTCTATTTGGACAGGAGAAGTAGCACTTTCTCTTTGTTGATAGTCACTTCATTTTTTTCCAGTTGGTTAATTTTCAGGGTTCTATGCAGGATCCCACAGCTGCAGGTTTTAAGATGCATTGTAAACTGGGGTTTAATTACTTTTTGCATAATATGTTACAAAAGACTCATGGTGCGTTTTTCATACCCGTCGGATATGTTAACTTTCATCTTGCCAAAACTTTAAATTCAGACCAAATACAACCTAAAAAAGCTTGATTAGCCCATCTACTTGTAATCTGTTTTGCAGAACAGCCTTGGATTTACACATTGCTTCCATGCACTGGGATAGACACAACCACTTGGAGATGTCCTGGATCAGGATTTTCCATGGTCTGATGCGATCTTCCCCATCTGTATGGGATAGGGCTGCAGGGCTGAGCTGTAATGAAGGTGTCCCTAGCTCAGGTTCATAAAAAGAGCAGCTAGAACGAAAGGTAGAAGGGGGAGCTGGTGTTGTCAGTGAGTGCTGTAGCAACACCCATTGTGCTGTTGGCTACCAACGATCCAGCTCTGCCGCAAGCACCCTGTGCCACCTTTAGTTTGGCTTAGAGCTTCTGGAGCAGGCTCTGAGGCCTTGGGGTCAAATCATGCTGTGACAAGCTCTAGAGAACGGAAGGTGGTGACACCACCAGATAAATGGTGGTGTATCCTCTCTTTTCCAGCTCCCGCAGGACTGAGCAGTGTGCACCTCCAGCCGGTACGTGCTGCAGATGGCAGTTGAGAGAAGGGGCTGGCCATGCCCTTTAGCTGGCAGACTGTGTTCTCTTGGAGCTGCCGTGTGCCAGTCAGCGTAGGAGAAGATCTGGCTCCTTGTCATTCCCTGAGCTGATACATGGGAATCTTGCCCTCCTTCCTACCCGTTTTTCCGTCCCTCAACATCACGTGTGTGGGAGGGGGGAAACGAAGAAACGAGAACTTGAGGCAAATGTGAGAAGCGAGTGGAATTATCTCAAAGTATGAGGTATTCTCCAAGATGAATCCCTCCTGTCAGGAAGGGGGTGGACTTTTGGATCACAGCCTGAATTACGCTATTTTTATGCAGGGAGTAACTGAAATACGTAACGTGAAATTGTGTTAGCGCAGGATAGGAGAGCAGCCACCCATGTGCCGTGAAATAGCCGGTGGAGGAGATCATGAGTGACAGCTTCTCACTGACAGCTACAGAAAGAAGGGATGATTCCCAGCCCACTAAACTTTGTTCTCCACATTGTACAGCTCTCCTGTTCCTGGGTGTGTCAGCTCCGTACTGAGTCTTCTGCCATCTGTTAGTTCTGCTTGAATCTCGATAGAGCGCAAGGGCTAGACCTTCAACTACGTAAATACAGCTTTACATGCTCAATTTATAGAAGCCAAGCATCTGCAGAAGGCTCTCATTAGAAGCCATGGCTCTCTTCAGCAGCGTGAGCTCTCCAAAGAGCTGAATAGAAGTGCAGAACACAACACCCAGGGAAGTTGCAGGGATGAGTGCTGCATAAAATTACCAATACCCATTTTATTTTTGTTGTTGGAATGGTAAATATGGATGCCTCAAGCAAGCATCCATCGCCTTCATTATTGAAACAAAGACTTTCAAGGGAAGAAACACATTTTCTTATCTGCAGTAGGACAAATACTGCAGAAAAGAAAGAGGGGCTTTCCAGCCTCTGTGCATTGAGACCTCAAACTTGTTTTGGCTGTTGTCTTCTTAATCATGCTTGTTTTTCCCATGGACATGCAATCCAGTGAATCTGGGTGATGTACAAGCTGCTTTGTGGAAAACAGAAGTTTTTCAGGTGTTTTTATGGATCTGTGTTTGTGAACATTATTACCGGAACTCTTTAGCTAACGCTGCCTTTCAG